CTCTCTCTCTCTCTCTCTCATCTATGTCGAACCCATTAGGAGGTTGTCTCCAGCTTCACAGTATATCCAGAATCTAATCACTTTTCACCACATTGACTCTGACTGCCCCCACTGAAGCTCCCCTTACTTCTCCTGGACTGTCAAAGGCCTCCAAACTTGTCTCTCACCTTCCATCACCCCATAGTCTATTCACTCAGCAGCCAGGGTGGTCCTTTAAGACTGAAGTCACATCATTGTATTACTGTTCTCCTCAGAACTCCAATAATTTCCTAGTGCATTTGGAATAGCACAGTTCTCACTCGGGCCTACAAGGTTCTCTATAACCTGGCTCGTGACTCCCCCTCATTTCCTATGATGCACCTCTCAACATGCCTTGACCTGCCTGTCCCAACCACACGTGGTTTTGTGATCTCTTAGAAGGTACCAAGCACTTTCCATCCCTGGGACCTTTAAACATGCTCTTCTCTCTGCCTAGAACACTCCTTGTCCACTTGGTTCTTATACTCCCTCCCTCATTTTATTTAGGATCCTTAGGACTTCCCGGGTCATGGCACTGAAATAGCTCTCTTTGTCTTTCTTCCCTGTATTATCTGATGCCATGTTATTTATGGATGCATTTCTCTCCGCTCCAGGAGAAGGTGGCCTTCCCAAGGTCAGGGACTTTTTCTTGCTCAGCGTTATGCATCTCTATTGTCTGGAACTGTGAGTGGTATATAGTGAGAGCACAAGAATTATTTATTGAAAGAAAGGATGAATGAACACATATTTGAGTAAGTGGTTCCCTTATTCTTTGGGCAGGCCTATTTATTTTTCCATGGAGTCCTGTTCTGCAGCTCCTGCCTGCCTTCAGTCTCTCATACATATCTTTATGTTAACTAAATGCCCTTGTACAAATTGTTTGTCCTGTGCATTCAGTATTGGACTTATCAGCATTCCCCTTTTCAGAGGTTTGGGGTTCCACAGCAGCTGACAGTGTGCTCTCTCACTAATAGTGGAGGCACTGGAGTTGTTTTCATGTAAATGGATGATGGATGGCAGGTTTAACAAAGATGCAGAATCATCAGGGAGAAATGTAAGCAATTTGATTTTAGGGCCTTGAAAAGGCATTTTTCTTGAAACATCTTGTCTGCTGTAACTTTTAGTGGGAATTTCAGTTTTTATAATTAGAGATTCTTTTACTTGGCTTATATTTTGTTTCTCTTATTAAGTTGCACTTATGTCCCAAAAGTGCTAAAATTTGACCCTTTTGTGACCATAGTGCTCTAATTATAAAATGATTGGCTATAAAATATTCTCAAACTGTATTTGTGTTTGAGACTGGAAGAAAAAATATTTTCGCAGTGTGAAATATTGTTGGTCAGTTTTGTCACAGACAGTATCTTTGTAACGAACAGAGGATTTTTTTTTCTTTAGTCTACGACACGCATTGCCAGACCAAGACCAACATTTGCTTGTCCTCATAGTGACTAGGCTGGTAGCTGCCTGTTATCTGCTGAACTTTCTTTTATTGGGTGTTGGAAAAGTTATGGCATATTTTTTCTATTTTTTCGTTGCAAAATGCGTCATGACTTTTCCGACAACCCAATATATCCTCTGATCGGGTTTCATTGGTTTGCCATTCACTATTTTAATCTACCAGAGTATCATTTCATTAAATTGATTTGCTTTTGAACCAGATGGACCTGACTTTGAAACCTGTTCAAAATCAGGTTCATCTGGTTGAAAAGCTCTTCCACTTAATAATATGACCTTGTGAGAATTGCTTATTCTTTATCCCATTTATAAAAGGGAAAATAATATTTTTCTCATAGATTTGTTGGGAGGATTAAATGAAATAATGCACCTAAATTTGCTAGTGCACTGCCTGGCACAGAGTAAGCATGCAGAAAATATTGGTTGTTATTATTATTATAACTTGGGGGATATGTCATGATACCCTGGTAGCCAGAATAAATTAATGCCTTATCTATCTTGTTCAGCTGGACCCTTTGACAAAAGCAAATGGATCCTACACGGTCACATTGGTGAGGGGCTTTGAGGAGTGGCTAACTTCTTTCATTCCATGGCTGCTTACTGTATTTGAGGCATTTCTACAATTGATTTTGAAGTGCCGCTCACTCACAGGGGGTAGGACTCTGGCCTTTGAGAACTCCCATATTTACCTCCTAAGCATAAGGACAAAATGAGGATGTGTTGAAAGACATCTGAGTTGGGAAAGAGAGGGTAGAAAAGGCCTCGTCTTTGACAGGGACTTAGCCATTAAAGGGAATGTCTCAGGCAGTCAGAAAGCCAGGTTGTTCAGAGGCTGGAGAACTATCACTGTAACCACTTCTAAAAGAAAAAGCAGGCAACGTTTAACTGAGCGAGCTCCTTTGATTTCTTATTCTGTCAGATCCTAGAGACACTTTCCCAGGTTGGTGGAGTTCAGGATGATCAGTTTTTGTGGCTGCTGGGTGATTTGTGACTAAACATAGATAGCGCTTTTGAAAAAAATAAAGATAAAAGGATGAGAAAAGACTATGAAAAGACCCTCATTTTAAACAGGAATACAGAAGTCCTTTACTAGTGCACTTCCTCCTCTGCCATTTGCTGGGTTGGTATTTCCTCTGAGGTGGTAAATAATAACGATAGTGACAAATGTCTTATATTTCTTTAGATAATTTGTTGTTTGCCAGTGAATGGAATTTGTGCATCTTTGGTTAATGGGCTACCAACAGGGTTTTTGTTACCTATATACAATAAAACCATAGTTATTAAACTTTCCTTTTAATTTTTCTGCTTAATGACTTCCCAAATTCTTCCACTGATAATTCTTATAGGGTCATGATAAATTAATTGAAAAAGCAATTCGTACACCATGGGCCATTCCTTTCAAACAAGCAAACAAATTACTGTGACTTGCTATAATTCTAAACTTTGTTTCTTTTATGCTTTTTGCTGAATTTGGCTGCTGGAAGTTATACAGTGGCATTCCTCGATCTCTAATATTAGGACTTTTGATAAAATCAATGAAATCCTCGTAAATAAAATGTGAATTGTGTATATGTGTGTGTGTTTTCTTTGGCAGCAATATACAGGACACATATAGGACATGGGAAGAAAGGAAATTGATATTTATTGAATATTTATTATATGCCAGGCTCAACATTTATATTATTATCAACATTTTACAGATAAGAAAATAAAACTGGGCCAAAGTCACATGACTAGCTAGTCAAGGCCCCATTCGGTTTGACCCTAACACATGCTCATAGCCTGCCCCATGCTACCCACTTTTTGCTTATCTTATTTGCTATGTCATAGGAGCTTTGGAGTCAGCTACTCTATCTCACCCCCTCCTTAATCACCAGAGAGCTCTTCTTTTAGGGAAACTTAGTAGGAAGAGGGTTTAAAATGAGAACTTGGTAACCATCCACCCCAACACACCCTACTTCATTGTTTCTTGCCCTGGAAAACAGAACCACCTGTGCCCTGAGTCTCAGAGGCATGAGGAACGAGCCTGGTGCTTGAGTGACCGTAGAAAATAGGGTGACAACACCGAGTGAGAAGAAAGGGCTGAGGAGCTTCCCCCTTGGAGAAGGACTACGTCTGGGAAGAACCGAACTTTTCTCGGTCTCTTATGCCCAGGAAGTAGAAATGTACTGTTGTCTATATTCACCTTGCATAAGCAGGACCTGAGCTCTGCACTCCAAACCCTGGCCCAACTTACTCATTTTCAAGCTTTGGAAAACCGTATGAAAGTGACGTAGTGAGGCAGAGGGAGAATAATTGTGTTACAACAAACCCCATAGGATTGTCCAGATCCTTTTTCTGCAGTGGACTTTTCACAAGGCTGATTGAAAAAGATTCTCAGCTTTCAGGCCTGCTGGAATGATGACATGTATTGTGAGGGGTTTGATCACTATTAGGTTTCTTAGAGAGCTGCTTCCCGATTTTGACATCTGAGACTTGATTTCAATTCTATCTGTAAGGCCAGACAGAGTCTTGGAGACACTTATTTTCATTGTTCTTTTCTTTTAAAAAGTCACAAAGCTAATTGTCCTAAAATCTGAAATGGGACAGCAGATAGGAAAATGTTCTTAGGTTTGTTTATTGTTCCAGAAGTGAATGAGTCTGTTGGTATTTATGTGAATGCAGTGGTGTTATATTAATGCTGTGGGCTGTGAGAACGCTGTGATAACCCATACAAAGAAATTCTGTCTGAAATGATTCTCCAGGTAGGAGTACAGCGTTGTTATGGTTGTTTTGTTTTCTGCAAGTTGTATGCAAACTCCATTGTGTTTTCACCCCTTAATTGTGTATGTGCACATATATGTTTGCCTATTAGTATGTGTCTTAACCCATTTATAAATGAGGAGGACACATTTCTAAGTCAGTTTAAATGGTAACAGTTCTGCTTATGTAAAAAGTGCTCATCAATTAAATATAGGGGCACTTTATGAACTCATTTGTAATATGTATACCTTCATCCCAGTGAGGTCAAACAGTTCATAGAAATACTTTGCTGTATCAGGAAGGTTTAAAAGTTGGATGTCATCTCAGTCCAGTTAAATTAATATATTCTCAACTTCACACATTCAAACAGTATCCTACTAACTAAAAAAGAAAGGCCAACTTTCACACAAAGTCATCTAGAAGTTTGTGAAATGAAACTCCACGACAAGTTCAGTTGCTATGAATTAGGCTCATTTGCTTTCAACTCCTTCCTTTTATTCTTTATTCTCTTACAGCTTCGAGGCTGAGACAAATCCACTTTTTATCCGTATTTCCTTCCTTCACTCCTCTCATCCCGTGTTATAACCATGTTAGGCTGCTGCGGTTTTTCTCTAGGACATAAAAGGGATTTAGTATTCAAAGCCAGTAGATTTCTTTATCCATAGGCAAAGATTTGGCCCCAGAAAGAGTGATTATTATACACAGTTGTTGTCATGACTTAAGTTTTCTTCAGAATTTTATATTTTTCCTTCTTCTTCTTCTTTTAAATAAATCAAACCAAACAGGTATTCCTGGAAGACTTCTGAGTGGAAAGAATGCCAAGTCTCTCTCCTCCTGGAGCAGCAAGACCCCCACTGGCATGTGACAAGACCCGTTTGTGGAGGTGGAATCCAGACCCGGGAGGTGTATTGTGCCCACAGCTCACCAGCGTCCACTGCACAGAGGACCAAGGAAGGTAGGCAGTTTGTTCCAGGGACAGATGGTGCTGCTGATTGGAAAAGTAATCAACTCCAACACCAGTTGCTTATATTCTTCTGGACACAATAGCCCCTCAGCAGTCACAGATTTAATATTTGTGTTGTCTACTCTTAGCAAACCTCCCCTAAATTCTGCTACTTGCAGTAATTTGGAATAGTTAATAACAGGAATAATAATAAAAACATCAGCCTCAAAGAATCATTGTAAAAATTAAATGAGAGAATGTACCTAGGATCTGTAGCACAAATGAATGCTACACTCTGAGGGGCTGGAGCACGCCAATTCATTACTAATGCTAGTAATGAATGAGTAGCATTACTTTTTCCCCCCCAAGAGTGGTTTTTGGGTGAATTTGTGAATGTGGGAATTTCTACACATGTGTCATTTTCAAATGTCAAGGTCAATGTCAATTTATTGCCAAAGTTGACAGTTTTAAATTGGAGGAGAAATAGTTTCCTCCATGGTAGGCTTTCCATTGGGCAGGTACAACCTCAACGCTGGTCCATTTGTTTCAGAGTTTGGGACAGTGATGACATATAGCGACTGAAAAACTGACCCAGATTTTTTTAACTTCAATGACTGAAAAGCCATGAATGGGCAATAATGCTTCTACTCTAGAAGAAGGTGGGGCCTGTTCCAGCCCCATTGGAGAACAGAGCAGTGTCCCTTGGGCGTGCACATAAATTCTCTCCTGTGGAAATTGGCTAGGGAAGCAAATGTGAGCTTTCTTGCTACGGGAATGCATCGTTTTTATCCTGTAGAGTTTGTCATACTGGGTGCCTTTTTTTAAACATGGCCTCTCATTGTTCCAGAGGCATCTATGACCATAACCTTGATGATGCACCTTATGACTCACAGAGGAATAATACTCATTTGCTTCAACAATTGATGTTACAGTGCCACAATTACAGGGCTAACACTATTTTTAAAAAGATAGTTACATTTTCTTCCTTCTCTACTGTCACTTTTGTCAAGTGAAAATTTAAACACTTTCTGTTCTAGGACAGAGCATAACTATGCTTACTCCTCTGAATTTGGGAGAACAGAATTTAGATGAAAAGCAGCAGGTTACTCTTTCATACCTTGGTGATCTTCAGTAGCACTTTTTCCTTCTCCACCTTTACTGTTATCTATAGTTCTAGGGTCTTCAGGGGTTGGCACGTAAATAAGAATTTATGACCTACTTCCTTTTTGACCTTTAATATTCTCTTGTCATTTTTATCTCCCAAAAGTTTCTTCAGTAAAAATAGCTTCACTGGTGGATCACTTATTGCTAAAGTTTCTTCTGCCTTCATTTTTTCAGCTTTCTTAATGGAAACATATTGGACAGGAAGATTGCAATTGGGAAGAAAGTAGAAGAATAGTGTTCAGAGTTGGGAAATCACACATGGGTGAGGGGATTAAAAAGAGGAGGGGTGTTAAATGCAGATTTAACAGCTTGTTAAGCCCTGGTACAATCTGCCTGAAGCATCTAAATAAGAGGAAAAAACCTTAGGCCCAGTTATACTTCCAGGTTAATACCTGGGTTTACATGAAAACACAAAGTATTTAGAAAACCCTAAGCCCAGTAGCCCAGTTCTCAGGGAGAGCTTAGCTGTGGAGGTGGGACGTAACCACATTGATGTATACCACAGACATGTACTCTCGTACAAAGTTGAATACAGTGAGTCACACTACTGCTGCACTGGAAAATACAGCACAGTCACAATTGCATTAAAGACATGTTATAGCTTACAGTGTACCTTTGTAGTCGTTAACAAAGGCTTTATTTTGCTCTTATATGGAAGTGAACCAGGAAGATTCCTTTCCTTTCTCATAATTGCTTTCATTTCCTACTGTTATCATTTACAGATACAACTTGACAAATCTGGCAACATGAAAATTTCTTCTTGGCTCAAGTTAAACGCAAGAGAATAATTGAATTATCATTTTAAGGGACCAATGAGTGTGTTTGCCCAATTAAAATGGCAGAATTTAAGTATTTCTAACATATTCTGCTAATGCAGAAAAAAAGACCTAAATTGGTGACGTTTTTGCATTTTAGCTTTTGTGAACATCTTTTTTTTTTTTTAATGTTAAATTTTGAAGGGAGAAGGAATTTTAATAGCATTGATTTTGGAAACTCTTTTGTTAGTCACAGTTAATTTCTCCTTAGACTCCAGAATGCTCTTTTCATTCTCTGGGGGTGGGAATTGGTTGGCTGTTTTACCCTACTGAATCTCAATATTCACTATGAGTTAACTGTACGGCGTTCTAAGGATGTGATCTTAGAGGAATTCCCGATCCTGAGGTGGGGAGAGAAATGAGTTTCATTTCTGTTGATCTTTCATTCAGTAGAATTTCTGGATGCCAGACTGGGGTGTATAGTTGGAGGGGGATGCTAATTCTCTCTCAAGGGCTCCAAGTCTCTTGTTGAGGCTGAGTGCTGAGGCCAAATTCTGATTTCAATGCAGTTCTATTCTGCAGTTCTGATTCTTGGTGATGTTCCATTCCACCTCAACTCATGGTATTTGTAGAAATACAACAGTCACTGTTGCGTATTTACCTGATTCTGTTGCTCAATGTTCATGGGATGTTTTAGATATAGTTGGAATAATGCTGTAACAATCAATGTGAGAAGTTATTGCCAATAATAGCAGCCAGGTCTAGAGAATTAGGGATAAACACATAGAGGGGTATTTATGATTTTGTTTACCACTTATTGTTGTGGAGAGAATTGTGTTTCTTTTTTATAATTCAGAAGCACCAACAGGAGTGATGCTTACCTGCAACTCTAAAAGTTTGGATTTGGTGAGACCATTTTCTTCTTGGCACTTTCTGAAATAAAATTAAAGCCACTTAGCCTCTATTCAAGGGTGATTTCTCAGAAGGTAAAACATGGAAACAAGGAATATGCCTTCAAAATCTAATAAAGACTGGGACAAATATATTCTATTCATGACAGTGTAGCCTAGTTACTGAGGAATTAACAAATATGAAATGAAACAGCATAGAGATAGAACGTATTCATGAGATGAATAAAAAATAAAACCAGGGCCGGCCGAGTGGCACGTTGGTAAAGACTTGGCTTGGGAGGCCACCTCTGAGCAGCAGGACCCCGGTTCGGGCCAGTGGCAATGCGCCCTCTACAGCTAAGATGGTGAACAACAGCTTGACCTGGAGCTGGGCGGCTGTGAGTCACGGGTGGCAGTGTAGGCTGCAGTGGGGCTGGCCGGCAGCTGATGTGCACTTTCATGAGCCGCTGTGAGCGGCAGTCCAATGGCCAGTGAGCGACTGCCTCACCCAGGAAGAGCGTGATGGTGATGCCAACATGGGCCAGTGAAGTGATGCCCCCTACAACTAGACTGAAGAACAAAAGGACAGCAACTTGTCTGTTCCCCTTCCCCAATTCCCCAATAAAATCTTAAAAAAATAAAAAAATAAATAAAACCAAAAAACCCCCCACAAAAGCTAAATAAAATTTGGGAGAAGGTATTTGTTTGGTTTTTGGTGTGGTTAAGCAGAATACTACCTGGTTGTTTGGTTTCATATTTCAGACTTGTCATTTGGCATCAAATGAACACAACTATTTTAAGAATGGAACACAGTTTAGCTTTGAATTGTTGAGTACATTAGTTGACCCCTTCAGTCCAGTAAGATTGAATAGTTCTTGGAAGTAGAAAGTCTTTATCATGCTGGGCCCAGAGCTGACAGTAAGGGAGCACATGATCAGATAAGGGAATGTGTCCTGGAATGCTAAGTAGTATGTGAAGACTTCATATATTTTTGAGTCTAACTTGTATAGGAAGACTTAATGTGTTTGGGTTCTGGGTTTTAATTCTGGCATGTATGGAACTTTATATAAGCAACATAAATGTTGTTCCAATCTTCTAGCTCATTAAATTGGTTTTAAATGTATTGAATAGGTGAGTAAAAAGTGAATGACAATCACACTTTTTTTTTTTCAAAAATCATTTGTTATGTACCAGCTATGTTTGAGGCTATGTCCTAGATACTGATATTATAAAGGTGACACTCATTAATTTACAGTCTTTTAATTGGAATAATTAAACTAAAAATTATGCTACAGTATCTTAAGTAATATTACACACACACACACACACACACACACACACAATCTGACAATTAAGTTCACAAACTCATCCTAAAAAAAGTTCTACCTACCTCATTCCTGAATATCACTATAGTCACCTTCGAAATACTCCCCTTGGGAAGCCATGCACCTACCCCAGTGACTAGTCCACCCTTCAAAGCAATTTTGGAACTCTTTTTCTGGAATGGCCCTCAGAGCTGTTACCCTTGATGTATTGAGTCATCTAAATGTCTTTATTTCAATATTTCCTTTATCTTCGGTTAAAGAAAGAAGTCACTGGGGGCCAGTTCAGGCAAGTAGAGAGGGTTCCAATACAGCTATATGTTTACCGGCTAAAAACTCCCTCACAGGCAATGCTGTGTGAGATGGTGCATTGTCATAATGCAAGAGCCATGAATTGTTGGCGAAAAGTTCAGGTCATCTAACTTTTTCACACAGCGTTCTCAGCACTTGCAAATAGGAAACTTGGTTAACTGTTTGTCCAGTTGGTACAAATTCATAATGAATGATCCCTCTGCTATTAAATAAGGTTAGCAACATTGTTGCAACAAGTTCGCAAATGTAACTGTCAGACCATGTGTGTGTGTGTGTGTGTGTGTGTGTGTATGTGTATATAAATGTGTATGTGTATATATATATATATATGTGTATATGTATGTATAAAACATGGTGAAAACCATTTAATAGTGTCTTAATAATCTTCATAAAGGAAGTGCTGCTTAAAGACAGTTTAAAGATCAATAGGATAAAACATGCTAAATGGGGCAGGGAGGACATATGGAAGAGAATGGAGATGATTATATTTAGTGGTGGCATGTGAATGGGTTTGAAGAGAGCACCGGAATAAGGAAGTCACAATGACACTGGAAAACTAGGCTTTCTGT